CTTTTGCCGCTGAGCTAAATCCCCAGCCCCGCTAAGTGTATTCTTAAACACTTGATTTCCACCAGCAATGTATGAGGGTTCCAGTTTCTTTGCATCCTCACCAGCATTTGTTGTTCATCTTTTTGGTTATAGCCATCCCAGGGGATGTGGAGTGGTACTGCATTGTGCTCCCCCATAACGTGCTGGGGATTGAACCTAGGACCTAGAGCGTGTTAGGTGGTGCTGTACTGCTGGCTGCAGGCCCATTTTTTTCTCTTCTTGTGTTTTTTTTTTTTTTTTCCTCCGGTACCGGGAACCGAACTCACGACCTTGCGCTTGCCAGGCAGGCGCTTTTGCCGCTGAGCTAAATCCCCAGCCCCTCTTCTTGTGGTTTTGATTTGCACTTCCCAGGTGGTTAATAAGTGCATTGTGCTTTTGGCCATTTGCTTATCTGCCTTGGACAATTTCTCTTTGGTACCGGGAATCGAACGCAGGACCTTGCACGTGCCATGCAGGCGCTGTGCCCTGAGCTGTCTCCCGGCTGGGCATGTGTGGATTCATAGCCTTTGCTCACTTTTTAAGAAATAAAACATTTTATTTGAAAATAGTTTTACATAAGAGCTACAAAGGTAGTACAGAGAATTCCCATGTATCCTTCACCTACCCTGTGCCAGTTGTCTTTTTCTAATGAATTACATGAGTTCTTTACATAATCTGAAAAAAATTTCCTAGTTACATGTGTCATTTATATACATTTCTCATGTAATATGGGTTTTCTTTTCATTTTTATTGATGGTGGCAGTTGTAGGATGGATATTTTCAACTTCAATGAGATCTAGTTTATTTTTTCTTGTCAGTGTACTTTTTATGTTTAAGACTGCTTTGTCACTGAGGTTTCACAAAATCACAAACATTTATTCCTTTTCTTTGCCTAAGAGTTGCATGGTGTTCTTATATTTAGAGCTGCAAAGCCAGGCATGATGACAAATGCCTGTAATCCCAGTACTCAGGAGGCTGAGGCAGGAGGATTGCTGTAAGGTTGAGGCCAACCTGGATTACATAAGCCAGTTGAAGGCCAGCCTGCACTGCAGGGACCCTATCTCAAACAAAACAAAACAAAACAAAACAAAACAAAACAAAACAAAACAAAACAAAACAAAACTGCTGCTGGTGTGGTGGCACACAGCTGTAATCCCAGCACTTAGGGAAGCTGAGGCAGGAGGATTGCAAGTTCAAGCCCAGCCTGGGTAATTTAGCAATTTTGTGAAACCTTGTCTCATAATTTAAAAGGGCTAGAGATTTAGCTCAGTGCAAAGGCTCTGGATTTGATCTCTAAACTGTAAGGGAAACAAAACAAAACAAAAGAAGACGTGCAGAGCACAGTGGTGCATGACTCTGACTCTGATTAAGAGGCTGAGGTAGAAGGATCTCTAGCGAAAGGGAAAAACTGTACAAGAGAAATTGTTCCTTTTAAAACTTCGTTCTTTTGAAACTGTCTACCTTTGTAACCGCTTCATGGCCTTATGATTACTTTCTTGACCTCTGTAACCACAAGAGCATAACCTAACATGTAGGATGTCTGACTGTAACAAGCTGTCGTTAACCTAGCTCGTAACTAATGATTTCATCCTGCTGGCTCATCAGAAGAACGGCCGGGCTGCTCTGTCTCACCGTCGTACCTCGTGCTGTGCCTCACAGGGAAGCTCTAGACCGCCGGAGCTCGGGGCCTGGTGTTCTGGGAGGGCTTCCAGTCAGTGCCCGTCAGCGTAAAATAAATCTGCCTCCAAATCCCGGGTGTCGTTCGAGCGTTCATGTTTGATGTAACACTAGTTTGAGGCCAGGCTGAGGAACGAAGCAAGACCTGGTCTCAAAAAAAACAAAACCAAACCTTGCTTGACCTCATTGCTGAGTGTGTGGGCTTAGAGTGTGAGGAGGCCGAGCCTCGCCCTTTGCAGGTGAGTGTCCAGTTGCTCGAGCGCCAGGCGCTGGAAGGTGGTTTTCCCGTTGACTTGCCTTGGAAGGTGCTGTTGCAGTGAATGGGTGCGGCGTAAGGGCTGAGTTTTGGGCTTCCCGTTCTGCTCCGCTGAGGTACATGTCTGTCCTTAAGCCAGCACCACATGGTTCTGATTACTGTAGATTTTTAGTGCATTTTGAAGTAGGGATTTTTTTTTTTTTTTTGAGACAGGATCTTTCTGTGTAGCTTAAGGTAGCCTTGAACTGTGTAGTGCAGGCTGGCCTCAAACTCATTGTGATCCTCCTGCCTCAGCTTCCTGAGTGCTGGCATTATAGGCATGTGCCATCATGCTCAGCTTCAGAGGTTATTTACTTTTGTCTTTTTAAGACAGGGTCTCGTATGCAGTTCAGGCTGGCCTTGAATTCACTTTATATCCCAGGGTGGCCTCAAACTTTGGTGGTCCTCCTTCCTCAGCATCCTGAGTGCTGGGATTACAAGTGTATGCCACCATACCTGGCTGTTTATTTATTTTTGTTTTTTTGAGACAAGGTCTGGCTATGTATATAGTTCATGCTGGCCTTGAAATCACCGTGTAGCCCATGCCACTCTGGAGCTCATGGCAATCCTCCTGCCTCAGCCTCTTGAGTGCCAGGATTATAGGTATGTGTCACCATGCACAGCTTTCAGAGGATTTTTAAAATTAAAAGTGTGAGGTATTATACAAAGAAATTTTTTGTGAAAATACCTGAAAATCTGATCAAATGTAAAGGAATTCATCTGAGGATGTTTGTAGTATACTCTTATTTTTTCATAGGTGTTTTATAATACTCAGTAAATTTGTTTTTTTTTTTTTGTCTTCTTGAGACAGGAGCTTCCTATGCAGTTCAGGCTGGCCTTGAGCTTACTTATGTAGCCCAGGCTGGTCTCGAACACTCAGTGATCCTCTTGCCTCAGCCTCCCGACTACTGGTATTACAGTGTGTGCCACCGTGCCCAGCAATAAAAAATTTAAGTTGTTTGATTCTGTTTATGCTTCTTAAATTATATGGTAGCTTTTAAAAAATAATTGAGAGATTTTTATTTATTTATTTTTTTTGTGCCGGGGATCAAACTCAGGGCCTTGTGCTTGCCAGGCAGGTGCTGTGCCACTGAGCTACATCCCTGCTTATATTTATATTTAAATTATTACATTATAGTGGTTTTGCTTTGGTTTATAATTCAGAATTGAGAAACAATAGAAAAGACCAGAGTTTTGTTTCAGGAAGAAAACCAGCATTAATCTGAAGCCTGTTCTTTCCCTGCTGTCCCTGCTGTGCAGTGTTTTATATGAAGGGAAAGAGAGGCTTATTCCAGGATGTGAAGTGATCCTCGCTACACCCTACGGCCGCTGTGCCAACGTCAACAATAGTTCCACCACTTCGCAGAGAATCTTCATCACCTACCGGAGGGCTCCTCCGGTCCGACCTCAGAACGCCTTGGCCGTAACTGATATCTGTGTCATTGTGACCAGCAAAGGAGAAAGCCCTCCTCACACCTTCTGCAAAGTGGACAAAAACTTGAATTGTGGGATGGTAAGAATGGAGCTGTTTCGTTTTCAGAGTTTCATTTGAAAACAAAAGGGATAGCTTTGGGCTCCTGCTGATTATTAGGTGTGTGTGTTTTTAATTAGTACTGTGTATGTTTGCAGTAACATAGCAAATACATTCATGCTGGAGGATTGGTACATACACGTATCATCCTGATCCTAGGCATGTAGCTTCTTGTCATATTTTTATGATTATTGTTTTTGTTACTTTAGCTGTCTTGAGTTTTGTGATTGAAAGTCATTCTTAAAAGTTTTATCTGATGATTTAGAATAAATCTAGATTGAAAATCCAGAAAAAGAATATTTTAAGTCAGAGGTTCTTTTCCTTTTTTTCCTTTTTTTTTTTTTGGTAAATCCTAATATTGTCTATGTTATATTACATAGAGGTTTCGTTAACTTTTGGGTTTCAATCATGTCTGCAAAGGCAATTAAAGATAATGGGTGAGAGTTGTCCTTACATTTATTTTAAACATTGTGTTTTTGCATGCTGACACTGTAAAAGGATTTTCAAGTGAAGAAGAACATTGGGCATGCTTTTGTCTTACAGTTTTATAAAGCTAATGTTTACTTTTTTTGTATGTAAGACAGGGTCTCACTATGCAGTTCAGGCTAGCCTTAAACTCAGTTTGTAGCCCAGGCTGGCCTCAAACTTGCAGTGATCCTCCTGCCTCAGTCTCCCGAGTGCTGGGATTACAGGCGTGCGCCACCACGCCCCACCTTCAAGTTGACTGTTGAGTCAGATTTATTTTGAAAAGTATCTTCAGGTCAAACCAGTGTTCCCCTAACGTGGCTGTGCAGGCAGTGATTGCATCTGTAGCTGCTCGTGGAGACGCGGAGGTCTCTGCAGGTGGTGTCTGCAGAGCTTAGGTGCCGTCTCCCTGCTGCAGGCTTCGGCGATACTCGCCTCGTGCTGTTTCAGGCTGAAGTAGTCTCTGCGAAGTCGGACGGTTCTGAACGTTCTGAGACTGTCTTGTCTTCTCTCTTTTCTGAAGTTTTCTCAGCAGGGCTTTGCTGCATTTATACTGCATAGTGTGTGTGATAAACACAGGGTGCTGTTGTGGCAGTTGCTGTTGCTGGGGAGGGAACGCCGGCCTTGCACATCTGAAGCACATGCTTCGCTGCTGAGCCGCGCCCCAGCCCTGCAGGCCTTGCACATCTGACGCACGTGCTTCGCTGCTGAGCCGCGCCCCAGCCCTGCAGGCCTTGCACATCTGACGCACGTGCTTCGCTGCTGAGCCGCGCCCCAGCCCTGCAGGCCTTGCACATCTGACGCACGTGCTTCGCTGCTGAGCCGCGCCCCAGCCCTGCAGGCCTTGCACATCTGACGCACGTGCTTCGCTGCTGAGCCGCGCCCCAGCCCTGCAGGCCTTGCACATCTGACGCACGTGCTTCGCTGCTGAGCCGCGCCCCAGCCCTGCAGGAGTAGTGTTCAGCAAACCCTCCTGAATGATCAGAATCCTGTTCAGGAAAATGAATTTCACTTCATTTCGTCTTTTCTTACCTTAGTGTCTGTTTTACAGTGGGGCTCCAGTGTGTTTTTGTGTTACAAGAAGTCTGTGCCTGCTTCCAATGCAATAGCATATAAAGCTGGTAAGTGAATTAAAGATTCGTCTCTGCTGCTGTGGTTATTGGTGCACATTAACATTTAACTAGGAGAGACAAACTGTGTTCCTTTATGTAGTTTCTGGAATTGCTTTATTCATAAACTGAATTGTCTGTAATTTTAGCATGTAGAGCATAAGTTTTTTTAATGCATTATGTACTGCAAGGTATGTCCCCTCACCCCTAGATGTGCTGTTAATTACGTTTAAACTTCTACCCAAAGGAAGTTATGTGGGGTAAAAACACGCAAGCTTTTGGTCTGCACTAACAGATATAATAATTTAATGGAAAACTGCTTACTCTCTACCTTGTATGTTTTGGCAATCAGAAAGGTGAAAAACTGCATCTTTACTTCTTATATTTCCTTCTCTTATCTGTGTGTGTCTGATTTGAAACCACATGTTACTTGCCGTGAGAGGCGGACTTGCTTCCCTTCCCCTTGTTGCAAAGAGTCAGCTGTGTGGAGGAGAGGAGGGCCTGCGGACCCTTTCTGCCGTGAAGTTTTTGCGAAAGCTATCGCCACGGTGTTACTGCACAGTAGGATGTCGAGGGCGGTAGAGATTTAAGTGTGGCCTCTGCGTCCCCCTGGTATGGTGGGGTAGAAACTGAAAACACAGGTACGCTCCAGTTGTAAATAGAAGACATGCTGGAATGCTTCTTTGTAAAAAGAAGTAGTGCCAATTACCTTTTGATGATGCACAGTTTTTGAAATGAAGTTTTCAGGAAAGTCAGGCATATTAATATCTGAAAATTCTTGGTTGTCCTTATAAAAACTCATACTAATGAATCAAACCATTTAATTTATAGTACAAAAATAAAGGGAACACTAATGATGTAAGTTCAGTATCATCTAAAAATATGATGCTCCTATTACTGCTGTAATGTGTTGATTGTATGTGACTTTCTAAAATGTCCTTTTTTTGTGTGTGTGGTGCAGAGAAGGTATCATTTAAAAAAACCTTGCAGAACGATGCTTTGCAGCAGTATCTCGGTGTTTGATATGAGACACTTAGTTTAGAATACAGTTTTGAAGACTAAATTTGGTCTCCAAATTTAGACTAAAAATTTGGACTCCAAATTTGACTAAACTCAGAATTCTGATACTGATCTTCAAGTTTTTAATGTAGAAGTGGTCTATGCTTTGGCAGTATTAGAGGCTAATTAACTGATGCCACTGAGCTGCTTTAGTCCAAAGGGTGTTTGAAATCATTCTCAGAGTATTTCTGCTCCTACTTCCGAGTCTCAGCCTGTGCTCAGTCTCAGGGGTTACTGTGTGATTATTTTCCATGTTGCATGCCTTTTACATGCTTCTCGTTCAGCGTGAGCATAGGGGTTGTGATCATTTCTGTTGCCTTGACATTTTAATACGTATCTCTTCCCTGAATTTTTTTTCCCCAAAGACTAATTGAAAGTTAGTAAATTTCCGTCTCTTACCATTCTCCACAAGGTATTAGCATATGTAGGAAAAAATATATTAAGATTACTGATAGTATTGATTGAGTCAAGTCTGGGATAGTATAATGTTTATTTTATAATTAACTGAGTTCATAGGTAAAATATAGAGTAAAGGTATTAGTTGGTTTTGATTTCTATTATATCAAGAAAAGATTTGATTTGGAATTTTACACAGATACATATTCGCATGAAATTCGGTAATAAAGTATCCTTTAACGTGTATCATCTGTAATTTATAGAAAACTGACCTTTACAGCCGGTGTTTATCGTCGCTTCCTTTCTCCAAAAGGCCTGATTTTCAGGTACCCGGAAGACGACTACGAGTCCTTCCCGCTCTCAGAGTCTGTGCCGCTCTTCTGCCTTCCGATGGGAGCCACGATTGAGTGCTGGGACCCTCAGACCAAGTATCCACTTCCAGTTTTTTCAACTTTTGTCCTGACAGGTTCTTCGGCTGAAAAGGTATATTTTTGGCTTGTTAATTAAACCTATTTTATCTGTAGGGGTTTTTTGGTACTGGGAATTGAACTCAGGACTTGGTGCTTGCCAGGCAGGCGCTGTGCTGCTGAGCTGTATCCCCAGTCCCTAGCCATGTTTCAAAATTAGTTATTTGAATGTTAGGATTGTTTGGACCAAAGAAATGTAAATTTATACCAAAATATCCAGGGTGTAAAGTCAACATGTGATTGTCCTACAGAAGTGAATATAAAGTCTTTCTGGAGATGCACTTCCAAAACCTGGATCTAAAAATGAAATCATAGTAACAGAAGACAGGAAGGATCAGCATGACATAGAATGAAGCTGGATTATACTGACAGTATCAAAATAATAAAATGACAACATAGAAGATGTGATTTATTGAATATGTAACTGAGATGATTCATTATCAAATAGGGGGACTCAAAGTATCAGGGAAAGAATAAGGTATTTTAAAAAATGAATAGAGTAGTTGGGCTAGGAGGCTTAATCCCAAGGGGAGCTAGCAGCTAGGCCAGGAACGTTTTCTTCCCATGTGACAATACCTAGGGCAGGAGGGTTTTGGCCGAGCCTACCTGAGCAGGTTAGCAGAAGTCGTTCTGAAGATAAGAAGGGACTGAGTTGTGGCTCAGAAGTAGAGCTCTTGCCTAGCACGTATGTGGCCCTGAGTTTGCTCCCCAGCATGGCCAAAAAACCAGATAAAGTAGAAAGTAAATCAAATGTATAGAAACCGGAAATACTCTCTTTAAATTTAAAATCCAGGGGCTGGGGATTTAGCTCAGTGGCACAGCGCCTGCCTGGCAAGTGCAAGGTTGTGAGTTTGATTCCTAGTACCGGAAAACAAACAAACAAACAAATTAAAATCCAGTGAATAGCTTCATTTTATTTTATTTTAAAATTTTATTTTGCAACTGGGTGACACTAAGTTGCTCAGGCTGAGCTTGAAGCTTTGATTCTTCTACTCGGACTCCTAAGTAGCTGGGATTATAGGTGCCTGTGCCACCGTGCCATCTCCATTTATTCTTGACTTCCTGCACTTCCTTCCTTCCTTTTTGTCCTTTTTACAGAATGTTAAATTTTTGGTGGTACATGTTTGCGGTACGTGATCACGTTCACTGTGAGAGTTGGTGCGTGTGTGTGACACAGTTCTGACAAAAACGGCTTTCAGGGGTGGCAGTTCTGAGCTAAACCCCGAGTTTCCACACCCTTCCTTTCACCGGAGGTAGCACGCACCCGTAATCGCAGCATTTAAGAGGCTGAGGCAGGAGGATCACTGCGAGTTCAAGACCAGCCTGAACTACACAGAGAGAACCTGAGTTCCCAAAGTGAGACTAGAAAAAAGACAACGTTATAAAAGCATTGATTTGGGAGTTTTCTCAGGGTGATGGGAAGTCTTTAGATTAAAGATGCACTCCGAACATTCAGCAGAAATTCAGTACATTCACCTTTTTTCATGTTACAGTGATGCCCTGGAACACCACAGACAAAACAAAACAAAAACATAGAGAAGGTAATAGTTGCCTCATATAAAAGATGTGTAAGACTAGAATAATGACATAAAATGATAAATTAAAACAGAGAAGACAAGTAAAATATTAAACAGAAGGCAGGTAACAGTAATAATAAACTGTATTAGAAAATTGGGTGAAATAGGCGCACTGATTGGAGGAACCCGAGCTGAGCTGTGGGTCAGACAGAGCCGGTGGCTCGCACCGCGGCCGGCGGCCATGTTGGAGACAGCGTGTGCAGAGCGCCCAGCAGCGTGCGGAGGAGGGGTGACGGCCGGGACCCCGTTGACTGCATTGCCTGCAGCTAACCTGGCTGCTTAGCCTAGTCGTCACCTACAGTTTCTCCTGCTGAAGGTAATAAATACAACTGAAGATGCAAAAGTCTGCAAATCCTTGAGTTACAAATTGGATTTCCCTCACTGAGGCCCTTGGTCTGCTTAGGCTCATTCATTCATCAGGTGATAGCAGTGTAACTTCCGTGTGTGTGAAATGTGTGTTCTTGCTTTTGTCGTAATGCTTGTTAAAAAGTTGGTATCACTTTGAAATACTTGTATTTGACAACAGCAGCAAAACCAAAACAACACTCAGGGCTGGAGATGTCACTCAGTGGTAGAGGAAGTCTTCATCCATTGGGTTTGCTGGTGATTTCTATTATGACACCAAAAGGTAACAAAAGGAAAAAATATATAAATTATTCTCCAAAATTAAAAAGTTTTATCCATTAAGGGCATTGCTGAGAGAGTGAAAGGCACAGAAAGGGAAATTTTTTTTTTTTTTTTTTTTGCTTTAAAAAAATTTGTAGTGCTGGGGCTCTTACTCATGGTTTAGAACGTGGTAGGCAAGAGTTCTGCCACTGAGCTACACTCCCTGCTCCAGGTATTTACACCCAGGATATGGAAAGACCTCCTATAACGCAGCAAACAAAGCTGAACAACCCAGGTTAAAAATGGGTAAAAGACTTGATTAGGTGTCACTAAAGAAATGCAGATAGCGAATAAGACGAAGAAAGACGCTTGTTCACACTCAAGGCACAGTGATTTTTCTTGAGTGTAACCTTCTTTATGGCAGTGTAGTACTCCATTGTATTAAAAAACCACATCTTCTTTATCTGTTCACCAGTTGATGGGCACTTAAGTTGTTTCCAAGATTTGGCTATTACAAACTGTGCCACTGTAAATGTGCATATATTGCTGTGGTATGATGCTCTTAATTATTTTGGGAAGATATTCAGGAGGGGAATGGCTGAGTCCAATGGAACCTCTAGTCCTGGTTTTCTGAGGAGTCTCCACAGTGATTTCTACAGTGGTTGCACCAGTCTACACGCCATCAGCAGTGGAGAAGGGCTCCTTGTTCCCCACAGTCCCTGTTGCTGGTTGAGGGAAATTAATTTTTAAAAGCGGTCTTGTAACAGGATTTTATTACTTTATAGGTATATGGAGCTGCCATCCAGTTTTACGAGCCTTACTCTCGGGAACTTCTGACCGAGAAGCAGCTAATGCAGCTGGGCCTCTTGACACCTGTGGAGAGAAAAGTGATCTCAAAGTCCATCAATTCAAACAAATGCATCTGTTTGCTCTCACACTGGCCTTTCTTTGAAGCTTTTAGAAAATTTCTCATGTTTATCTACAAACTTTCTGTGTCTGGACCACACCCTCTTCCCATTGAGAAGTACGTGTAGCGGCGGGCCGTGTCGGGTGGGACAGCTGGGTTTACGTCGGCCGATCTTGGGGTGTGTCGCACGGCGAGCCTTGGAGTTGGAAGTGGGAGAGCCGCGGTGACCCTGCTTCTCCCTGAATCTTCCCTGTTCCTGAGTGCTTGGCTGTGAACTTAGGATTGAGGAGTGGTGACCGGGCCGTTGGGCGCGGGCCGTTGGAGAAGCTGGCTGGGCAGGTGGCGCCCGTGAGCGTGTGCACTTTGCGTTGCTGGTCCCGTCCGTTCCCTGATGACAGAGGCACATGCACACACGCTGTGTCAGGGGCCAGCCCGCATTCTAAGTGTGACGGGACTAAGCCGCTGGAGATACTGTGAAGGGTGAATTATGGATATTGCATGTAAGTAAGGTGTGGTTTTAGCACAGGACAGAACTTTCATGTTTTTGCTTTGATTTGTGATTCCCTTTGTCATGGACATTTTTTAAGAAAGAAAGGTAGATGTGGAGCCATTTTGTCTTTTTCAAACTTTTCTGATTGCTGTGGCACATTGGCTTTTGTTTGTTGTTGGTGGTTTTTTTCTTGTGCCGTACTGGGGGTGGAACCCAGGGCCTTTGCACTGAGCTACATCCCTAGCCCGTTCTTCTTTGTTATTGTGAGACAGGTCTCACTAGGTTGCAAAGTTAGCAGGCTGGGCTTGAACTTGTGACCCTCCTGCTTGAATCTCAGTGCTGCTGGGCACCGCCGCGCTCACCTGTTTGTTTAATATAGTGTAAAACTTACACACCCTGCCAGTAAAGTAAGAAGGTTTAAGGCTCTTGTGTGAGCTCGTCAAGACGTAGTATGTAAACAGGTTCCAGCTGTAATGTTGTACTCCTGGGATGCTAAAATAGTGGTTCGTATTTCTAGACTTAACTCTCAGCTGCCAGATCAATTTTAAGACTTCATGGTAAAATTTAGTGTTGGTGACATGATAACAAACTTCAAAATTTAGGCTGGGGACGTAGCTTAGCAGCACAAGCACCTGCCTGGCAAGTGCACGGTCCTGAGTTCGAATCCTGGTACCAAAAATAAAATAAATAAAAATTAAAATATTGATAGCTTGTGAAAATAAAATCAGTATAAATAATTTTTTTTCAGTTCAGATACTGTCTTTCATTTTAGTGGCTCCTAAGAGTTCAAAACTCCGGAGACATTTAAACATTTCCAGGTAGAAAAATAGCGCGTAGGTGTTTGTTCAGAATTATGGCAGTGAAGCTGGGGTTAAGTCCTGTGTGAGTGCCCTGGACTTAGTTCCTGTAAGCCGGCTCCTTGGCATGTTGGACAGGACCGAGGATGAAGCTCGGCGATGGAACGCTCATACAGTGTTCGTGAGGCCCTGCATCCCGTGCCCAGGGCTGAAAAAGATAACAAGCATTTTGTACTCTTGCTAGTTTGTTCTATCGGAGTTTCTTTCTGATAAGCAAGTCTGTAAAGGTTAGCTTCTTGGCCAGGCGTGGCGGTGCACATCTACAGCCCTGACACTTCGTGGGGTTGAGGCAGGAGGGCTGAGGCAGTTTGCGCAGCTTAGGGACTTAGTGAGATTAAAGTTAAACAGCAAAAAGAGCTCAGTGTGAAGGCCCTGGGTTCAACCCTCTGTACTGGAAGAAAAATGAACTTCTTTATGAGAACTGTATTTGTGTTGTCTTCTCTGGTGAAAATAGGAATTGTTAGTATAGACTTTGAGTTAGAGAACACATTGTGCATTTTGGTTAGTGTGTGTTTACACTGAGATTCTTCACTCCCGTCCCCCTCTCCTCCTCCCTGAGCCCTTCCGTTCCCCTTCTCCCCCATCCCCCCCCGCCCTCCCCCTCCTTCCCTTCCTTCCCAGCCCACCGCCCGTCCGCGTGTCATCATGGGGCCTTCACGCCCCCGTCCCCGGGGCCTCGGGCAAGCTAGGCAGGCACTCTGCTGTGCGGTCCGTCCCAGCCTGAAAGTTTGTTTTTTACTGTGGGGATAACGTTATAGTGATGTTTAAGATTTGTTAAAGTGCTGTATATGAAACATTTTACAAAAGTAATTATGGTCATTATTTTGTAACGTTTTCTAGGCACATTTCGTATTTTATGCAAAACATCCCGTTTCCTTCACCGCAGAGACCAAGGATTCTTGTCCAGGTAATGAAGTAGCGTGTTCTGGGAGAGCTGCTTGTGTCACTCCAGCCGTTGCGGAACGCGTCCCACGCCCTCGATTGTGAGATGAGCAGTACACGTTCATGAAGTTCTTGAACTCGCTTTATTTGAGGGCTTTGCAGGGAGCTCTTCACGGGCTTTTGGGTCCTGGATGCACAGAATTGGAGTAATTACAATTTTTGGTTCACGATACTGTTCTCATTGGTCCGTGCGTGGCCTTTATGTAGCTAATTTTAATCAGGTAAAACCCAGAATTGCATTATTCTGTTCTCGATATCAGAATGACTAAGAAATACGAAGTGAGCTGCGGTTGCCGGGGGGGCAGTGGAACAGCCCGCGGCGGCACTTTCCAAAGCCAGGCAGGCCTCCAGCGTGTGCCTCACACAGCTTGCTGGGTGAGGCGTTACCCACGCGAGCAGGCCTGCCCGGGTCCGTAGGCGACCGCTTGGCTTGTTTCTTAAATGCAGGTATGAGATCAGATTGTCGTAAAAGCTGCCAGATCAGTTTTGTTTTCATTTATGTACTATCTCTTTCTGGACCACAACCCTTTGTGTGGTGGCGGTTTGAGTTATACTGGTCGGTATAGGCAAGCTGTTTAATATTTTTCCTAAGAGATTATAAATACTACATATGGTAGGATTAAGCCGGAGAGTATTGATCTTGAATGTGGTTCAGTTCATTAAGTATTAATATATATCAAGCAACTATTAAGTGCTTAATAATCTGCTGAGTAAATAAATTGAGGTTTTAATAAAAAATTACAGTCTAAAAATTTTAACTGCCTTTTTTTAACTTTTTTTTTTTTTTTTGGTGCTGGGAATCGAACTCAGGACCTTGTACTTGCCAGGCAGGTGCATGTGCTGCTGAGCTAAATCCCCGACCCTTAACTGCCATTTAACCAGTTAACTGATTCAAAACTCTGCGAAACTGAGTTTGAAAAGAACTAATGCAGTCGCTGAGTGAATGTAGTTATTTTGCATCTTAGTATGTTTCAAAGAGTTTGCATGTTGAACTATTTTCTGTTTACCCATAATCTAAATATTCAGATTTCAAAATTGATTTGGTTAATTTATCTTTTCTTTTTTTCAGCTGTCAGTCCATGATGCACTAATATTATCGCAGCCAGTTTCTACGCCTTTACCGCTAAGGTAATCAGTGGTATCTGTGAATTGTGGTGCTGGGGATGGAGCCCGGGTCTTGAGGTGCCGGGCCAGGGCCGTGTCACTAGGCTGCATCCCCGGCCCAGTTAGTGGTTTTAAAATGCTGTGTTTGTTCACTTGGAGCAGAATGCTTTAAAATGCTTTAGGGGTTAGGGTAGCAAAGTTAAGTGTTGTTTTATAAGGGATGAGGGGTGGTACTGTTTTTAAATGGTAACAGGGAAATTGCTAGGCTGGATATAGGGCATTCTTTCCCTTCCTTGTGTTTTTTGTTTGTTTTTTTGTTTTTTTTCCAGTACCGGAAATCGAACTCATGACGTCGCGCTTGCTAGGCAGGCGCAGTGCTGCTGAGCGAAATCCCCAGCCCTGTGATTTTTTTGTTGTTTTGTTTTTTTGGTTTTCCTGTGATCTCTCTTCCCATATCTAGTTCATAAGTAAATGTTGAGTTTACTGATTTTAACCTAAATATCTTCAATCTAATTGCTCTTCTTCACCAGTACAGGCTAGCATACTTACTTACCTGGACTACTTCATTACTAACCTTTCTTGTGTGTGTGGTACTAGTGTTTGAATTCATGGCCTCATGCTACACCGCTGACTATATATCTCCCGTCCTTTTTCGTTGTTGTTTTTCCCCAGTACCGGGAATCGAACTCACTGCCTTGCGCTTGCCAGGCAGACGCTGTGCCGCTGAGCAAAATCCCAGCCCCCTCTCTCTCCAGTCCTTTTTTCATCCTTCATTTTGAGACAGAGTCTCCTTAAGCTCCCCACTCCAGCAACTTTCCATGCTCGGGGGTAGCTGGAACTCGGGGTTACCACCAGCCCCAGCTCTGTATTCACCTTTTGATCGACCCTCTTGTCTTTCTTCGGTTCTTTGTGCACAGTGCAGCCGTGTGTGTCTGTTTGAGAATCAGATACAATGGTTTTCTTTCCGTTCAGTCTGATTTCATGTTCTTCTCACTTCTTCCCTTACTGTGCAGTTTCTTGATTATGACGCTAGTGTGTGTTATGATCTCATACCTTCCATCCCACCCCTGCCTTCATTCTTTTGAACTCAGCTCAAATGATTGTGCTTCAGGAAAACCTTTCCTGATAAATGTCCCTTTGTTAACAATTAATGATATTTAATTACAGTTTTTATCATAAGATGAGTTTTAAGTCACTCCATTATATTATTGCACTAAATTTGCTTTTTATTTTTGATTCATTACTGTCAGATTTAAAATTAATACTAGATTCTTAATTATTAACACTGAGAAAATAATTTAATAAGCAAATCTTAATACATTTTTAGCAAAGTAGTTCATAACCCTTTCTCTTTTTACCTAGTGGAGCCAACTTTAGCACCTTACTGATGAATCTGGGTCCTGAGAATTGTGCAACTTTGCTGCTTTTAGTTTTACTTGAGAATAAAATTCTGCTGCATTCTCTTAGGCCAGCTGTGTTGACTGGGGTAGCTGAAGCTGTTGTGGCTGTAAGTATAGAATTTTCCTTTTATAACAAAATAACTGATAGAGAATTCCCATTCTAAGGAGAAATCTTCAAACAAAGCAACTTTAAAGATTACCAGCCTGGTGAAAGTTTAGCATAAGATAATTGGGTTGCAAAGAAAAATAGTGTATAGAAAACAAAGGTGATTTCTGTTTGAGAAGAAATGTCAGTTGCTAATTTTTCATTTTAGGGTTTTCCAGAGAATAGCAACTATATGATTGAATAATAAAACGTGTAGCCAGACGTAGTGGTGCACGCCTGTCATCCCAGCACTTGGGAAGATGAGGCGGAGGGGTCACCGTGTGTGCAGGGCCGGCCCAGGCTACATAGTGAGTTCAAGGCCAGCCTGGACTACGTGTGAGTGAAGCTGATTAAATTAAGAAGCTCCATCCAATTTCAGCATAAATTATGCAGATGAATTAGATGGTTAATTTCTTCCCATTTTATCAGTTAATCACTGTACCTAGTAGCATATAGGACTTGGTTGTGAGGAGGATAGCATAAAAGTGCTTAGTTCTTATGTAAAGCACAAATAAAAATTGAATCAAATAATTCTTGTTCAAAACTTTATGATGGTTTCTTATTATACGTAAAAATAATGATGATATAGGGCTTTATAGGCTTTAGTGTAGAACTTGGGGTGTTCCACTTCTTCCAGTCTGATATCCCATTATTTGATTTAAGGTAATTGATTGTTCTCTCTTCCCCATTTTAATAATGTAAGTCTCTTGCAAGTAAGAATTTAAGTCTGGGGGCTGGGGATATAGCTCAGTGGCATAAGCACCTTCCTGGCAAGCGCAATGTCATGAGTTCAATCCCCAGTACCGCAAAAAAAAAAAAAGAAGTCTGTTTACTTCTATATTCTCAGTACTTATTGCACTTGCCTAACATGGAGTTGTTTCTTAGTAACAACTTCTAAAACAACAAAAAATGTATGTCTCCAGGACCTTAATTTGGTCAGAGAACTGCTGCTAGGACAAAAATAACCATAAACGCGGCTTATGATGATTCTTACTATTTCTTTCTCAAGTCTGCTGCACAGGTGCTTGTGAAAGCAAAACTTATCACAGTGAAATATTTCTTAATGAACTGAGCACTTTTAGAAAGTTGCCACTCATCTGTCCCTTCCTAAAACACTAGTGTTTATCTGCCCACACTTTGTCAGACAGTTTTTTCTTTTTGAGACAGGGTCACACTGTATAGTTCAGGCTGGCCTTGAACTGACTATGTAGCCCAGACTAGCCTGGAACTCAGTGATCCTCCTGCCTCAGCCTCTCAGGTGCTGTGATTGCAGACGTGCATTGCCACGCTTGGCTGTCAGACACTTTTGGCCCAGACTCTTGCCTGATTTCAGCAGTACTGTGCAAGGACAGGTAGTTGTACAAGGTTTAGGTAACTGATGGCTATTTATTTATTATTTGGGGTTTTATTTGGAGACAGGGTCTCATTACGTAGTTCAGGCTAGCCTTGAACTGCCTCAGTCTCCCAAGTGCTGGGATTACAGATGTGCACCGCCATGCCTGGCAATCACAACTGCTTTTTAAAAAATTTTTATTAGTGTATGTTTGCAATATATAATGATTACATGTATTGTAGGGAGTTGGTATATGTACCTAACACATTCTTTTTATGTCATCCCATGCCCGTTTGAGAACTGATGTTGGAGAACTATCTGAGTTGCATATAATGTCGTTGATAAATAAAGATGTAGCCGAGCATGGTGGTGCATGCCTGTAATCCTAGTACTAGGGAGGCTGAGGCAGGAGGGATCTCTGTGGGTTTGAGACCAGCTGGGCTACCAAGTTAGTTCAAGGCCAGCCTGAACTGTGTAGGGAAACCCTGTCTCAAAAAAAGACAAAAAAAAAAATCAAGATGTGGTAGTTAGGCGAGTTACTATTTGAAGAAGAAAAAACTGAAAAGCATGTTAACAGGTCAGATACTTCCAAAGGAAAGCGATGTGAATATATATCAAAGAATGAATGAAGAGCCGTAGCAAAGCTGTGTGTGTCTTTGTAAAGAACACACAATTAAGATGGATCTTTGTAAAGACAAGTGGGTGAAAATTCTTGCAGAACAACTTATATTGAGTTTTTTGAGATGTCAGGTTTCACTGAAGTTGGATTTTTTTAAATGTTTATTTGAATAGCTGTTCTTTTGTTGAGATTTTGAAGTGACTTACCATACCTAAGAGAACCGTTAGTTTAAAATTTTTATTATTATTATTGTTGATACTGGGGTTGAACCCAAGGCCTTTGCACTGACGCCAACCCTTTAAAATTTTTTTGTTTTTTGAGACAGTCTTACTAAGTTGGCTGGGCTGGGCCTGAGTTTGTGCTTATTCTGCCTCAGCCTCCCAGAATGCTGGGGTTACAGGTGTGTGGTGACACGTGGTTTTATTAGTGTTTTTAATGTAGTGCTTCGAGTTGAACCCAGGGCCTCCTTCATGCTAAGCGCGAACTCCACTGCTGAGCTATATACTTCCAGGCCCTTTGGGTGTTTTTGTTTTTTGTTTTGTTTTTTGAGACAGGATCTTGATATGCAGTTCAGGCTGGCCTTGAACTCTCACAATCCTTCGTGGTGCAGTGCTGGAATTACGGGCGTGGGCCGCCACACCCAGAGAGTTAAAACAGTCCTTAGTGCTCGTAGTTGGATTTTGGCCAGAGGTTATTGTGAGACTAAGTGGATGAGATGCATAAACATCAAAAAGCATAAATTCGTCTTACGATTTTTGGGGACAGTTTTATCTCTGTAGTTTGACTCTTGCCATTAAATGAGCACGTGGGTTTTATACAAGTATTAGAAGGATGAACATGCCAGCAACTATTGGCACTTTTACTGTGCTTCTGGTCATTGTCACGTTTGAAAATTTTGAGCACATGTGTTTATTCTTCGCTCAGTAATATTTTAGAGTCATCTGGCTTAAGAGTGAAGTTTAAGGGGCTGGGGATTTAGCTCAGCGGCAAAGCGCCTGCCTGGCAAGTGCAAGGTCGTGAGTTCGGTTCCCGGTACCGGAGGAAAACCAAAACCAAAAAACAACAAAAAGAGTGAAGTTTAGGGTTAAACCCTGCACTCGCGGCTCTCCGCGGGCCCTTTCCAGTGTTCGCGGTGCGCTTGTCTCTGCGGGTCAGCGCACGGCTCCCTGTGCTCTCTCCCCAGATGGTCTTCCCGCTGCAGTGGGGGTGCCCCTACATCCCGCTGTGCCCGCTGTCTCTGGCCGCGGTGCTCAGCGCGCCGCTGCCCTTCATAGTCGGTGTCGACTCGCGGTACTTTGATCTTCACGACCCGCCGCAGGACGTCGTTTGCGTTGACTTGGATACGAACGTGTTATATGTGTGAGTTGTCGGCCTTACGTTACCCACTGCCTCTGCGTTTTTCACCATACACAGTTACAGCTTTTTGTTATTTTTACTTTTTCTTTATTTTGATTTCTTGAGATAGGGTCTCACTGTCGTAGTTCCGGCTGTCTTGAGCTCACAGTGATCCTCCTGCCTCAGCCTCCTAAGTGCTAGGATTACAGGCGTGCGCCACCACACCTGGCCCAGTTTACTTCTTTAAAGTGAAGTATAATCACTGTGCGAGCGGTGGTGGCAAGCCTGAGGCACGCGTGCTGCGGTGGGCTGTTTTTGTGTCATTGAAAGCTCTGGAAGGTTTGGCCTCACTGCCGTAAAGGGTGCTGTCACACCATTCTCTTGGTTATCAGGATTCAAATTTTATAAAGAGTTCTTCTTCCCTGCCTTCTTTCTCTCTTTTCTTTCTTCTTTCACAATGCCAAGAATCAGACCCAGGCTGGCCTCAAACTTACGGTGATCCCCCTGCCTCAGCCTCCCCAGAGTTGGGATTACAGATGTGTGCCACCACATCCCATGCCAGACTTCCTGTTGGCCGGTTAATCTGCTGCGCCTGGGCTTTCTTGTCAGCTCTGCTGCGTTCAGTGCCTGTGTGTTTCTGAGCTGACTCTGTTCCTGCAGTCTGTTGCCGTCTTGCCAACATTACACTGCCTTAATGAATAAGGTTAAGTTGTGCACAACATGGATGGACCTTGAAAACGTTGTGCTAAATGACTTTATGTTACTGGGTGTGGTGGCGCACGCTTGTAATCCCAGGACTCGGGAGGCTGAGGCAGGAGGATCACAGTGATTTTGAAGCCAGCTTGGGCTACATGGTAAGTTGAAGGCAGTCTGAACTATATAGCAAGACTCCGTCTCAAAAACAAAAACAGAAAAACACCTTTTATTATGTGAAATGTTCAAAATAGACAAATTTATAGAGGAAGGCAAATCAATTAGTGCTTACCTTGGGGTGGGGTGGGAGTGTGCGTTTCTTTTTGAGGTCATGGAAAAGTTCAGAACTGGTTATGGGTGTGGGCCTGCAGTTCTGTGAATATGGTGAAAGCTGTTGAATTGCTTCAGTGGATGAATTACATGGTATATGAATTATATCTCCATAAAAGTCAGTCCTTTTTATCCCTGTTGTGATACTGGCTTGGTGGGTAGCTTCAGCCACAGCCCATGTCTGGTATATAATAACTTGCTTTTTTTTTCTTCTCAGTGCAGTTTATTTTTCTGTCATCTGCTTGATTTTTAAAACTCTAGTGTTCTTTGTGTTACTCTGTGACATTACTACAGTAATTGATATATTTTTTTGAGGCAGAGTCTTGGCTTTGTAGTTCAGGCTGAACTTGCACTCGTTGTGTAGCCCAGGCTGGCCTCAAACTCACAGTGATCTTCCTGTCTCAGCCTCCTGAGTGTACCACCACACCCAGCAGTAGTTAATGTTTAATGTATCTTTTCCCATACTTTTAATTTAGATTTTCTATATATAATAACATTATTTGTATGATTTGTATGAAGTCACACAGATGGCAGATTTAGGGCCAGGTTACAAACTAATGATAGTCCGGATAGTAATGACAGTGTTCAATTTGGGGGGTTAAAAGATGGCACCAAAATATTAGAATACACAAAATAGGAGAAGTTGATCAGAATTAATTGTCACATGCTGCCAAATTTAAAATACATTGCAGAGCGTGAAGGCTGGCACCTCTGTAGTAACGTATTCTCGCAGAGGTCCCTCCTGTCTCAGTGGAACTCTGAGCAGAGTCAGTATTTCAGGCGCTTGTTTTAACTGGAGGGCTGAATGCTAGCGCTCTGCTCAATGGGACGGGGACTGTCTCCGGTCCTTCAGGAGCTTTGTAAAACCCCAGGCTCACCGTTGACCCTGGAGACATGTGGGGCATTGCTGTCCTCTGGCTTCCAACCGCTGAAGACTTCCCTGACATTTTTGCTAGCTGAGCCGTACATTTGATTCTATTTTTCATGTTTTTTGTTAGTTTCTGCTCGTGATACATTGGGATTCCATTCAGGCTGGGTTGTTGGTAGCATGTGCCTATCTCCTCCTGATCAGTTTTACTCCCTCTGCCCCTGAACTGTGAATTCAGAGGGGTGTTTTATATGCATGCTGACTTCTGTAGGAAGAGTACTTTCCAAGTCATTGTGTCTATGTTTTACATTATTGTAAAATTCTGGAAACATAAGTTTTTAGTAATATCTTTTAAAACGGTCACGTCTGTGTCATTGGGTTTTTAAGTGTTTTATGTTGAATAATGGTGTTGTAACTTACGTTTTGACTACTGTAGAACTGCATGAACTAAGCGTAGTGTTAACCCCTACTGAAATTCTCGTCTTTCAATATAGGCTATAGTATGTTAGAAGCCTACTAATAAGTAGTTTGAAGTCTCTGATCAGTTAGACGCAATTGGACTTAAAGTGCTGTAGTTCTGCAGTGTAACCTTGGAAGGAAGATTTGAGTGTGGGGTTGGACCTTAACTGCACTGAAAATCCATGGTTGAGAGTTCAGAGAAAACCAGATTTGACTGCAGTCAATTAAAATGAAAAGAGAACTTCCTTGAAAATCATTTATTTCAGATTGCCTCTGTCAATTGTAACTGCTATCAAAATATTCTTTCTTTTCTAAGTTTGCCATCAGAATTTTTGCTTAGTAAAACCGTAAGTTAACAGATTTTACCAATTGTGCTCTTAATTAATAGATCAGAGGAAAAGAAACCTATGAACTGGAAGCAGCTTCCCAAGAAGCCATGCAAAAATCTCCTTAGCACCTTAAGGAAATTATATCCCCAGCTATCTTCAGGTAAGTGTAAGAAAAAAGGAACTTGGGGTGGGGTAGTGCTGAGGAACTCAAAAAAGGAATTTCTGAGATGGTGTCTCACTTTGTAGTTCAGGCTGGCCTTAAACTTACGTTGTAGCCCAGGCTGGTGTTCAGTTTGCGGCAGTCTTTCTGCCTCAGCCTCCCAAGTTATGGGATTACAAGTGTGCGCTGCCACAGCTGCCTAAAAAAAAAGAATATTTTATTTTATTTTATTTTATTTTATTGTCTTTTTGAGACAGGGTCTCACTATGCAGTTCAGACTGGCCTTGAGCTCACTTTGTAACCCAGGCTGGTCTCGAACTTGCAAGGATCCTCCTGCCTCAGCCTCCCGAGTGCTGGGATTACAGGCGTGTGCCACCACACCCGGCTAAAAAAGGAGTATTTTAAATGAAAGAATGTATATGAGAGAATTCTTAAATTTAAACGTAATATCACCCTACTTAATGTTTTTTGCAGTGCTGGGGATTAAAGGTAGGGCCTCGTGCATGGTAGGCAGATGCTCCGTGGCCGAGCCACCCCGGCCCGATTCTGTGCACTTAAGAGCCTACGTTGCTGTCCGGGCGCACCCCGGGCCCTGCCTGCTGGGGCCGTCCTGCCAGCCTCCGACAGCCGTCTCCTTGCAGTGACGGCCAGGGTTTGAAGAAGCAGTGGGCTTGATTTTAGTTTCACTGTTTCCTGAACGAGTCATTATATAAATCGAGTTTTATATGTTCATGCTGTTGCTGTTTGTTTTTACTTTGTCAGTTCACCAAAAAACTCAAGAAGGCTCTGCAGTGGAGATGACTCCTATCGAAGCAGATTTCTCCTGGCAAAAGAAGATGACGCAGCTTGAGATGGAAATCCAGGAGGCGTTTCTGCGGTTCATGGCGTCTGTTCTAAAAGGGTATAGAGCTTACCTCAGGCCGATCACAGAGGCCCCTTCAAAGAAAGCCACGGCTGTAGATTCTTTGTTTGATCGACAAGGCGAGTAACATTCACAATACTTGAGCTTTTAACTCAAGTAAAAAATGTTTTTTATTTGCTATTGTTACTACCAAATATTTATTAAAGTTATTAGAGTTTTTTGTTGTTGTTGTTATTTTTGAGACAGGGTCTCGATACGCAGTTCATTCAGGCTGGCCTTGAGCTCACTTTGTAGCCCAGGCTAGGCTAGAACTTCCAGTGATCCTCCTGCCTCAGCCTCCCACGTGCTGGGATTACAGGCGTGTGCTACCATGCCCAGCTAGAGATTTATATTAAAATATAATGAAGTTCCATGAATTTTTAATGTATCTCTATGAACAGAGAATTGGTTTTTATTTATTTTAAATTTTTTTGAGACAGAATATCAGTGTATAGTCCAGACTGGCCTTGAACTAGTTGTATTGCTTGGTCTGGCCCTGGCTTTGAGAATATCCTGCCTCAGCCTCCCAAGTGCTGGGATTATGGATATGTACTATCACTCCTGTCTTCTTTTAATTTTTATACCCTGTTACTTCCCTAAGAAATCTGAAACTACAGATCTTCACTTATGAAAAGGTCAAAGATGTTTATATTTAAAATACTACATAATCTATTGTCTTAGTAAAACGTAGCTGGTGATTTCCCTCTAGTTGTTTTCTCAATTTTGTATAGTTTTTAGAATTATATGCCTTATCTTTGATAGATTCCCTCCAGCATGAGAATGAGGTCACCAGTTTTTAAACATTCTGACAGATGTCACTTTGTTTCAGGGGAAATATGTACTCACTATTTTTGGAATGTGTTGTGTTACAGAGTTAGAAGGAGTTTTTATGTTCTTCAGTTACTTTCTCATGTATTGGCGATTTTACATCTATATCAGTATTCATATGAAAACTGGTTTTTTGTGCTTTTGCTCAGCAGTTACTTTTTATCAGAAGTGTTACCGCCAGTGATCTCCCGCCCTTTTATCTTTTCTGCCTCGGGATAGTTCACTGCGCAGATGTTTGACTAGTCACTGTGTAGAACTAGGAAGAAAAAACGTAACTCTGTGGAATTTTCTTTAAATTCTTTTTTCTTGGAGACAAGGTCTCACTGTACAGGTCAGGTTGTCCCTGAACTCACTGCGTAGCCCGGGCTGCCTTGAGTTCACAGTAATTCTCCTGCCTCGGACCCCTGCGCCCTGGGTGTGCACCTCTGTGTCTGGCAGCTCTGTGGAATTCTTGTTTTTGTTTGTTTTGTTTTGTTTTTGTTCTGGTACCAGGAATCAAACTCACAACCTTGCGCTTGCCAGGCAGGTGCTGTGCCACTGAGCTAAATCCCCAGCCCCTAACGCTGTGGCATTCTAAGTGGAAAAAATCTAAAATACTTTAAAAATAGAACAAGTACTCAAGGGAGCAGATTTCACATGATAATTCAGAGAAAGAGGACATTCGCCCAGATGGGTTTTAGAAGAGTTCATTGAAGGACCGGTGGGCCTGAGGCGGCCGAGAAGAGCGGCAGAGGCTTTCCCGAAGCCCGTGGGCGGAGCCGCCCCGAGTGAGAATGTGTGTGGCCGTCGGTGAGCCCTCCTGGGCTCTGGTTTCTCGTTAATAAGATGGAGTAACGTGTGGGCCCCAACTGGTGCAAATACTTTAAATACTTGGTAGCAACACCTGGCTGTGTTACTGGTGGTGATGACGGAGTGGAGCACAGCAGGAGCGAGGGAGGAGGCCCAGGCCGTTCGCAGGGGCCGCGAGCGGGTTTGTTGTCGTGCAACACACTGGAGGCTAAAGTGAGGTCAGGGTGTCTTCTGGGAACTCCTTTTCTTGGCTTCTCCGCGGTGTTTTGTCCCTGTGCTGCCTGTGTGTGTGTGTCAGGTTCCTCTTAGAAGGACAGCGTGCTGCTGGATCAGGGCCCACCCTCGCTGATTCCTTGAGCTCACTGGTTTCTGTAGAAACCTGACCATCGTACCGTCGTGTTCTGAGGTAAAAGGGGTTAGGACTCCCAGGAAAAATTCCTGGGGACACAGCTCAGCCCATCCGTGACGGCGTGTCTCAGAAGACAGCTGACTGGACCAGAAGTGAGGCGCTTTGCGTGTGTTGTGGGGGATTGGGCTGAGAATAAGATCAGGTCCAGGTTCCGGGGGATCTGAGGGGCGGGTGGACTTCTGCCCGCTGGGCAGCCCTGGTGAGCTGGCACTGTGCTCTGGAAAGCGGCGCGGCTGAGTTTGTGAGCCCTGAGGCTTTCTGCAGTGAACAGCGCAGCGTTTGGTTTATGTTGTGCTTCTCCTGAAACACCCGCGTGGAGCCCCCTGTGCTCAGAAGTGGCACGCCCACAGCTGAATGGGCCTGCTCGGACGAGGTGGGGCAACGAGGAGAAGAGAAGTGTTCCGACATCTCTCTGGCTTATGTGAAGAGAGAGCTCTGGAAGCGGGGAAGATTGGAGTGTGGATCTGCTAGTTAGGAACCTACTGCATCGGTCCAAGTGCTCAGTCTAGGTGATTTTTTTTTTGGTACCAGGAGTTGAACTCAGCACCTCGCACTTGCCAGGCAGGTGTAGTGCTGCCGACTGTGTCCCCAGCAGTGGGGGTGATCTGGAGTAGCTCCTGGTGGTATGAAGAGAAGAGCGGCTTCTCAAAATCATACTGAATAGGTGATTGAATATGGAATGTAAGGAGGAGATGTCAAGAGCACCTTTGAAGTTTATTTTTCAGTGTTGTTGTTGTTACTATTTGAGATAGGCTCTTGCTGTGTAGTTCAGGCTGTCTGAACTCACTGTGTAGCCCAGGCTGGCGTCAGACTTGTACTGATCCTCCCGCTACAGCCTCCCAATGCTGTTTTAACAATTAAGTGGACGATGGTACCCTTCATTCGGAAGTCAAAAAGAAGAAGGACGATTGGATCAGTTGTTTAAGGAAAGTTTTCTCTTTTGAAGATGAAAATGAGAGACTTTCGTATACGGATTAAAAAGCAGCTAACAGGAAAAATGGTCCTCAGAACACTGGAGAGGCTACAATCCCAAGCTAGTGCAGTGGGCTTGTTCTTCGATAGCGGGGAAGACATACTCTTGTAAGCAGACAGAAGGCATGAAGGCTACCTGAGAACGACGCATAGATTTGGTGGGAGAGCGTGTCGGCCATTTCTGTGTAAAGGTTATTTTGTCTGAGGTACAGTTTGGTCGTTAGGTTTGGGGGATGAGGACGCAGAGGGAGACCGTTTAAAATCGGAAACTGGAATGGAAACATGGGTAGAAGGAGACGACACTGATTCTAGAAACGTCGGAGGGTAGCTGGTCACAAATTAAAGGCATAATCTGGGTTCTGATCTGCTGCGTTTGGGAAAGTTTTTACCCCTTAGCTTGTGTTCTGTCATTCCCAGCGCAGATTTGGGACAGCAGGCTGTGCATTCTTCCAGAGCTCAGTTGTGCTGTGTAGGTCTGACCAACAAGACAGAGGGCGAAAGGCTTGGGGGTACTGATGGGAGGTGGTGGATACGTGCGGAGCCTCGGTGCTGGAGAGGCGGAAAAGGACAGACAGGAGGGCGCGGGTGGGAGGCAGAGGGCCAGCGGGCTGGGGTGAGAGACCTTTGGATTGTTGAAAATCAGGGCATCGGGAGCCAGAGCTGCGTGGTTTGTGACTGTAGGGAGAGTGATGGCACGGTTGGGTAGACGTTCAGCTAGGAGCCGTCAGCAAGTGAGCAGGGCGGCGCCCCTGATGTCCAGAGAGGGCTGCGGGGAGGGCCGCGGTTAGGAGAGGTGGGGGAGCCCGGTGCTTAGGCTTAACTGAGCAGACGTTTTTGTAAGACGGTACAGGAATACTCGTTGTCTGGTGGCTCATTGCCTTACTGGCTCAGAGACACACAGAGAGAGAGAAGAATTTCTGTTTGAGAGCTGAGGTGCTAGAGGTACCTCGGGGTTCAGAATGCAGTGTAAAGGTCAGTGGTATACTTTTTTTGGTGGTTGAATCAAGCAGAAGAAATGTATATGGTTATTAGAAGCTTCTAAATGTGTATTTGTGTAAAGAGAATGTAATGTAGATAAATTTAAAATAATGTTTAATGCAACATTTAGTGCTTAAAAATTTGACTTTATAATTTTGTTTTCTTTAGGATTTTTAAAAAGTAGAGATCGTGCTTATACAAAATTCTATACACATTTATCCAAAACACAGATTTTTATTCGTTTTATTGAAGAATGCAGTTTTGTGAGTGATAAAGATACTGGATTGGCATTTTTTGATGACTGCATAGAGAAGGTAAAAATTTGTCCTATATACTAATATTAAGAAAAAGCAGATTGGCTTCCCTATATAATGATCCTCCTCTTCCTCCTCCTCCTTCTCATCATCATTGTCATCATTAGCACAAAATGATAGGAAGACAGTGTAAGGCTGTGTGTGTGTGTGTGTGTGTGTGAGAGAGAGATTGATTGATTCTGAGCTTAATATAAGAGTCATTTTGTTTTGTGGTATCTAGTTTCTATCATGTAATTTTTTTTCTTTGACTCTTACTTCACTTTTGATTTCCTTAAGCTTCCTAAACCTTACATTTTTTATTTAAATGATCAGAATATGATTTCTTTTGACTAATTGAATAATCGTTGACTATTCTCCATGGTTGTTGTAGGAAACACAGAATAATAAACATACATCCATTCATAATACGATTGAATAATGTTTTTTATTTTGTTTTTTTATGGTAATGGAAATTGAACCCAGGGCCTTGCACTGATTTTCTTTTCCATCCTTTCTATTTTTTATTTTGTGACAGCTCACTAAATTACCGAGGATGGCCTTGAATTTGCAGTCCTCCTTCTCAGCCTCCAGAATAGCTGGGATCACAGCATACACCGCCATGCCTGGCATGAGTTAGCTTTATAATTTAGTTTTCTCTTTTTTTTGTTGTATTTTTTTATTTGCAGTGCTAGGGATCAAACCCAGGGCCCGACACACGCAAAGCAAATGCTCTACCTTTGCACCACATCCATAGCCCTGAGATTTTTTTTTTTTTTCCAAATAAAATTTTTTGGTTTTATCGGTAGTAGAAGTTTTGTGTTCTTTTGTTTTAATGTCTTTCCCGATACTTTTGCTAATGTATTTCTTCCATCCTCAGGAAGACTATTTGGAAATACTATATATTAAATTTTAAAGCTTTACTACCCATCCGAAGGAGGTTTAAATTGATTACTAATAGTGATGCCTTGTTTATATTTTTTCTAATTTTTAATTTGGTTTTTGTTTTTGCCAAGTAGATCTTCTGGCTGATTGTTAACATGAACCATACATTACTTAAAATTTGGGGTTGTGTCCAAAAAGGTAGAATATTACGTTTTGATTTTTATGGTCCCTACATGGAAGGAAATACCCATAGTATTGGGTATTTCACAATACCCATAGTATTTGGTATAGCACAAATGATAACTGAAAAAGATTCATAGATTTTTGTGGTGAGATCATGGGTTTTATTTTCATTGCAATATAAGATGTGGTCATTTCGTGTGCCTTAGAAGAATTCAATGATATTGTCCCATTCTGTCTAAAACTCCAGATATGATTATTTGGCATTTTTGTTTATTATAAAATTGATATTCCTATATCTTTCAGTTAGAAGCTTAGGCCATATCAGTCACTAATGCAGGAATTTAAGTATGATGAATTTTTAGATTTTTATTTCTTTATTTTTTGGGTACTAGGAATCGAACTCACGACCTTGTGCTCGCTGGGCAGGCGCTGTGCTGCTGAGCTAAATCCCCAGTTGTTAGTTGATGGAATTTTTCATTTGAAAAGCCAGATTATTCTTGTGATTGGTTGTGTTTTGTTTGTGAATAAGGCTTTTGAAAGAACTTATCAAACTGTATTTGTTTTCTGTCCTATTAGCCATGAGACAATATTATACTTTAATTTGGTGTGTATGACCTAAAAATATATTGTGGATCGTTTTGTATCTGCTGGGTTCTGAAAAACATAGTTTTGTTTTGTTTTTTTAAATCGAGATGTAAGATAAAAAGCTCTGTTAAATTTACAGTGTACATTTTCGCTGAGAATGTCTTTTTTCTTTTTGTAGTTGTTTCCTGATAAAGGCACAGAGAAAACAGATAAGGTATTTTTTTAGAACTTAAGTGTTGTGATGCAGCATTAGCTCTTCCTTATGCACAGGTAATTGGAGAATATGATTACTTTCAGGTTGAGCTGGAATCGCCAGAAGACGCCAGGCTGATAGAGCTGGACGAGTCGCAGAAGAGCGAGCACACTGTGTACATAATGCCCCCCGAGCCGCCCCCTGCCGACGGGCAGGGCCCGGCCCCCGCCTACAGGTAGCAGCGGCCCCGTCCGCGTCCCTGGGCACAGGTGGCTGCCTGGTTTCGGGTTCCTGTTAACGGTGTGCGTTAACTCGGGAGCCGGGAGGTGACTCTCCTGTGGAGATGCCACCAGGCGCTGTAGTTTCAGGGTTAGAGGGTCTCGTTAGCAAGGAAGCCAGACGTCAGTCGTTCTTCACCTAAACATTTAAACATTTCAGTTCTGAAGAAGAAAAAAATTAACTTTTTGTGAGGCTCCTCATTCCCTTTGGGGGTTTTACAAATATGAATACTCCAAAATTCTTACTAATTAGTGAGGCAGGGAAAACTTAACGCAGAGGACTAAGAATCATTTTTTGTTAAAACCAACCAGAAGAATAGGATCTGCGTGGGAATCCTTAAAGAAATTAGAATAAATAACTGTTATTAGAATCATGATACGATTCAGTAAACTTAGAAAAACCAAGCAAGAAACATAATATATCCTTTTAGTACCACTGTATCTTTTAATAAGTGTGCTTGTGTGTGCATTGTGTGTATGAGTTCATCTTACACATGTTCTTTGTAACCTCAGCTGCACATTCTTCTGTGACATTAAATTTTTTGTCACATAATTTTTAATGACTATATTGCATTCAATTATGAGTTAAATAGTTTCTTGTGTATTTGTAGTTCTTTACTATCAGTTTTTATCTTTTTGTGAACATGTACAACTGTTTTCTTTGGCTATAAAAGAATTCCAATAAAGTAAAACAAAAACCTTCCTAAAGTGTAGAATTAATGAATAATCTGAGCAGAACTACATAGGAATGATGAGTATATATCTGGAATTAAGTGGCTTAATTAAAAGCTTTTAATAGAATTTTTTTAAACTTTGGTTTAACTCTTTACAGTTAAAATTAGTGCAGCCTTTAATCCCAGCAGTCAGGAGGCTGAGACAGGGGGATTGCCCCCAAGTTCAAGGCCAGCCTAGGATACATAGTGAGTTCAAGGCCAGGCTGAACTACACAGCAAGACCCTGTATCAAAAAAAAAAAAAGTTATAATTTGGTATTTACACACAAGGTACAATTGAATAAGATAAGGCAGCATCGCAAAGAAAAAAGTTGGCCAAAGAAAATAAATGGACAGTTTCCCAAAAAACCCCAGAGTGTATAATAGGAAGACACATTCAGTGTTTCTAGTATTTAAAGAGATGCAGATCAAACTTACAAGGGGGGAAGCGCCTCTTACTCATCTGTGTGACGGCAGGTTATGCTAAGTGAAGTGTGTGTTAAATAAAATCAGTCTGGACATGATTTGATCATGATTATGATTTTAATTCTCGATGAACATTGACCTAAAAATTCTGTTACTAGGTATTTATCCTAGGAAATTAAGTAAAAGTATTCACAAAGATATGCATATAAAGATATTTAATTGAATAGTAAGAAGTTGGTTAAATTATATAGTACATCCCTAAAATAATAATACAGTGATTTTTTTCTTTTAAATATCAATTCAACATAATTTTATTAAAAAAGAAAAAGCTGGGCGTGGTGGCGCACGCCTCTTATCCCAGCACTCAGGAGGCTGGGGCAGGAGGATCACCGTGAGTTCCAGACCAGCCTGGGCTACATAGAGTTCAAGGCCAGCCTGAACTACATAACGAGACCCTGTCTCATAAAACAAAACCAAATTTAAAAAAAAAAATCAAAATTTTATGAAAAAACTTAAATGTGTTATAAGCTATACCGAATATTTCATTTAATGCAAATTATCATTAAACACATGGATTTTGTTGAGAGTTATTAATTACTCTGTTAAGTAAGATGTGAGGGGTTTGTTTTCTAAGTATTGGTTGAAAATAACAAAGAGGGTGCGGAGAAGCCAGGGCCTTTGTAGGTAGTTTGCATAGAAGTATTTTAATTCTTTTTTGAAAAAAATATTTACGGACTTTAAAGAATAATAGTGGGTACTATTTGAGGTTTAGAAATATTTACTTAAGCACTGAATAATATGGAGAGTTAATGTATTTTAAATCAACAGTTCTGTTTTGCTTTTTATTTTAGTTACAAATACTTTCCAAGACTGGATCTTAAACTTTTTGACAGACCACAGGAGGTGAAACTTTGTTTTAGCAGACACTCTACTGGGAATAGCATTGCAAACAGTCCAGCTCTCATGGCCAAAAGAACTAAACAGGTCAGATATTCTTTATCTAATACATGTCAATTTAGAATGTAAAATATGTGTATGTGCTATGAATTGATAGTATTGAATTAATCACCCACTGGAACCACTTGAAGACCCATTTTGATTGTTCCAGATTTTAACTAGATTTCTTGCAGCCCTCCTTAAAAAATTGAGGGTGAAGCTTTTAAATGCAGATGTTTATACTTTAAGGAATCTTTGGGAACTAAATATACTTTTAAAAAGCTTTATAAATTTACCCATTTAAAGTATACAATGCAGTGACATTTGGTATATCCACAGGGGTATTTAATCATCACCACAGTGAACTTTATTTATTTGTTTGTGTTTTTTTGAGACAGGGTTTTGCTAGATGATTCAGGCTGGCCTTGAACTCTCTATGTAGCCCAGGCTGGTCTGGAACTCACTGCAGTCTTCCTGCTTCAGCCCCAGGTGCTGGAATGAGAGGCGTACGCCATCCTGCCTGGGCACCACAGTTAACTTTAGAACATTTTCACTACCCAGAAACAGCCCAAATGCTTTCGCCGTTAACCCCCATAGCTTCTGCCCCTGAGAGCCAAGACCGCTGATAGTCTGTTTTTGTTTCTCTGGCTTCGTCTGTTCCGAGCATTTTGTAAGTAGACTCGTACAGGGTGTGCTCCTTCGTGACTGGCTTCTTCAGCTTAGCGTAGTATTTCAGGGTTCATGCACTTCACGGCGAGTGCCAGCTCTTCACCTCCTGCCGAACGACGCTCCGTTGTGTGGGTGCGCCGCGCGCTATGCACCTCTTCACGGCATGCGGTGCTTCCTGCATTTCACTGTTGTGGATCACGCTGGGGCCGAGTGGATGGGTGTCACGTCTCTGCTGGGCGTGTATCTGGGAGAATTACTGTGTCACATAGAAAGTTTGTTTTCTGAGGTGTTGCACCGTGCTGCTGGTCCCACCAGCAGCGTATGAGAGCTCCAGTTCACCATGTCCTCGTTAGTTCTTGTCTGTCCTCTGATTATAGCCAGTTAGTGGCCATGAAGTGGTATCTTCTTATGGTTTTGACTTGCATTTTCCTGGTGGCTAGAACTTGCAGTGATCCTCCTGCCTCAGCCTCCCTAGTGTTTGGATTATGGGCGTGTGCCACCATGTCCAGCAATAATTTTTAAAAACTGTGAGCTGTTTAATGAAGGCAGTTTTCTAAAATGGGATAATTTTATTACTCAGCCTCTAAATCTCATTTTTGGAGGATCATTTTTTCATTTGAATAGTTTTTAATGCAAGCTGTATGTAGGATTACTGTCTCCTGCATTTTCTGAGCTGTTTCTTTTATTTGTCCTTTTCCTTTCTGGCCTGGCAGGATGTGGCTTTCTGTTCAAGGGTCTTTTTGCTTCTACTGTCGGCCTTAGTCTGGTGGTGACTACCTTGCCGGGGGGATGTGCGCGGCACCCTCGTGCCGTTAGTCCTTCTGCTGTGCCCACTCGGTGGCGAGGACATGTTGCTTTTTGTAAACCGGGCCCACCTTGCTAGTGTGCTGACCTGCGTTTTGTACACCCTGAACTTCTTTGTCTTTTTAGGTGGGCATAGATCAAACATTGTACTTCAGTGTCTGCTTTTTGGGAAAAGGGAAAGACAGTCTTCCTGCAAACGTGGGAGGGTACATTGAAATGCCTAAAATTTTTGAAGTCACAAAGGCATTGGACTCCATTTTGGCCAGTGTTGTGCCAGTCAGTACTGACTGCACAAAGGAGGATTTTCTCCCCTAGCCTGGCTGGAAGAGAAGAGGAGCTTTAGATCTTAGAAAAACAAGGGCATATAGTTTCAGATCTGTCTTCAAGTCTCATAGAGTTAGAAAAGAAAGTGAACATACCAGTGTGTTTTAGTTAAGAGCACACCTCAGCAGGGGATGTGCAGTGTAAGGCATGCAGTGCAGCTCTGGCATGCTCCAGCGTTTCTCGGGGTGTAGTTTGATGAGTTATCAGCACATGGTTTTGATACCTCCTCTTTCACCCACTTAGTCACACTGAATATCAAAAATAGGAAGCGTGATTATCAAACGGTAGACGGTGCGTAATTATTCCGAGGCTCTGTGACCACAACGGCATGCCTCCAGGAATTAGAGAGCTCACACTGTGGCCAGGGAGGGCAGAGAGCGGCTGATGCGAAGATTGAAAATCTTGGCAAGCAGTACCCTCAGATACCGTGAACTTCAGCTGGGAGGAGAGTAAGAACATTGCTTTTCAAGATTAGGATAGTAGCTGGATGTGGTGGTGCATACCTGTAATCCCAGCACTTGGGTTTTTGTTTTGTTTTTTTTGTTGTTTTGCTTTTTTTTTCCGGTACCGGGAATCGAACTTACGACCTTGCGCTTGCCAGGTAGGTGCTGTGCCGCTGAGCTAAATCCCCAGCCCCAATCCCAGCACTTGGGGGGCTGAGGCAGGAGGCTAGCCATGAGTTTGAAGCCAGCCTGGGCTACAAAGTGAGTTAAAGGCCAGCCTGAACTGCATAGTGAAAGCCTGCCTCAAAAGGACCAGAAAATAAATAAATAAAAAAGATTAGGATAGTAGAACTAATTAACCATAAATGACTAAATTTAGGGTGTGTGGTTTTAGTTACCCTTTTATCTATCAAACATGAGTGCCTTCTCTATGAAAAGAATCTAACCATTATGTTATACAATTAGTAGTGATACTTACTCTTAATGAATTTTTGATCTGTTAGAAGACATACACTTACCAACAAATAGTTGCAGAATAGTACGAAGTAGTATTTCAGCCACTAAATGTTTAGGGGATCATGTGGCATGAAGCAGGAAGATACTTGTAAAACTGAAATACTTGATTTTAGGGTCAACTTTACATTAGTTTTTTTCTTGCCCCTTTCCCCCGTTCTGGTGGATGGTATTAGATACTGTAATATTTTTATTTATTCTCTTCCTAGGAGATAAAAACAGCTCATAAATTGGCAAAGCGGTGTTACACGAATCCACCACAATGGGCGAAGTGTCTGTTCAGCCACTGTTACAGTTTATGGTTTATTTGCCTCCCGGCCTATGTGAGAGTTTCTCACCCGAAGGTCAGAGCACTTCAGCAGGCGTATGATATACTGATTAAGATGAGGAAAGCAGATGTGGATCCGCTGGACGAGGCAAGTGTAACAAACTGAGCAACTGTTACAAGTATTAATTTTGTTCTTGTAAGAAAATTTAGGTTTTAGTTGCTTTAAAGTATGCTTAAATATTTTTATTAATCAGGAAAGGTGCTCTTTTGTAGAGTTATTTCATATTATTTATCTTAAAATGCATTTATTAAAAAAATCATTGCTAAAAAAAAAATCACCGCTTTGGTGTAAAGCAAAGACCTCCTTACTTGGGCCAGATTATTTGTCCTTGATGAGCAGACCATAATATTCTGTGTTATTAATACAGCTTTATTAAGGAATGGGTAGGGAAGTACGCTTTTCGCGAATACTGCAAAGAGTACGTGTAAAGCTCTCCTTTTAGGGCAGTGTCCTAAGGTGAGTTGTGTAGCCTGTGTTTTAGATTAGTCATCTGAAGATTCAGCTCCTACTTTTCTAACTTTGGCAGTATTGGCATTTGGCCCACGTAGTTACAGCGGGGGCCTGACCTATAGATGGCAGAATGTCTAGCAGCATCCCCGGCCCCTGCCCAATCGATGTCAGTAATGTCCCTTCTCCCCTTATAGGTCATGACAGTCAAAAATACCTTACTGCCAAATGTCCTCTGGGTAACAAATTCCCCCTGAAGAACCACTGATGTAGGTAATAGTCACTAGTACCTTCCTCATAAGACTGAAGATCGAGCTCAGTGAAATAAGTCCGAGTTACATGGTTTCTCTTAGATGAGAAACCCCAAAATATAACTTAAAGAGCAAGATAAAAGAGAGTTGGTAGGAAACAGGGAGGTAGACTTTGTGGAGAGAGAAAAGGGACCCGGGAAAGAAGGGGGAGGGCTGTGAAATAAGATGCTGTTGGACGTGTTCCCAGGATGAAAGTAATTACTGTATGTTGTAAACATACTGATAATTGTTTACAAAGAGCAAAGGTTAAACAGGTTGATACACATACAGCACTTGGCTTATGGTGAACACCCAGTGCGTGATGTGCTGGGCACTTTCATGCATTCTGTCTTGAGCCTCGAGGACCACCGAGAAGTACGGTGCTGATACATGCCGTGAACAGCGAGGAAAAGAAGGCCGTTACCTAGCTTTTCTGTGTTGTTTTCTCCTTTAGAAATTATTTTTGGTGCTAACTATAAATAATATCTAATTCCAGATTAGAATTTAAAATGAAAACTCTTTACTAATAATATTACAGTCTATTTAACTTTTTTCATTCATTTTAAGGTATGAGTTTACAAAATCAGTTCGTTACACAGGCATCCTGGAGTTGCTGGTTTTAATTATTTTGACATAGAATGTAAAGCATGGTGGTTGGAGACGGCGCTTTTTTAAGTGTACTTGATTTTAGAGATGAATTCTTTCTCAGGTGACGGATAATAACGGTCATTCTCTGTGTGGACTTACTACTCAAGCAAACAAGACATGGTCGCATAAGTCTTTTGTGAAGTAATAATGCTGATCAGTAGGTTTTTAAAATAATTTTCTAAGATGCTCAAACTAGAATGGAAGGTAAAATAGCACTTAATAATTCTATAGAAAGAATTGAATATAAAGTCTTTAAAAACTCTCAAGTTACAGACCACTTCGCTAATATTAATGCTTTGATGTTATTTCTTGTTAGGTTTGCTATCGAGTAGTAATGCAACTTTGTGGACTTTGGGGTCATCCTGTTTTAGCAGTGAGAGTCTTATTTGAAATGAAAACAGCTAACATAAAGCCAAATGCTATTACTTACGGTTACTATAATAAGGTAAGTAGGACTGACATTGGGAATATACGGTGCTTGTTAAGAACGATAATTTTCTTATAACATTTACTTACAAAAGTTTTCATAGAAGAAATTTGGGGGGACATAACTTTTTTTTTTCTCCATGGTTGACAAATAAAAATGGTGTAGATTGCCAGATGTCTTAATACACACACCTGTAATCCTAGCAGTCTGCAAGTCTGAGGATCAAAAGTTGAGGCCCAGTCTAGACAGTTTACTAAATGAGGCTGTTATTTTTTTTTAAAAATCTGGTTGACGTTGTATCTCTGTATGAAGGCCTGTGGCTTCAGTTCCTAGTACAGAAAAGCAAAGCAAAGCAGAAAACACCAAGTATAAGCCAGCTGTGGCGGTGCGCACCTGTAACCTCACCACTTGGGAGGCTGAGGCAGGAGGGCCACAAAGCCAAGGCCAGGCTTAATACATACAGAGACTGTGTCTCAAGCAGTGAAAAACCAGAACACGCGTGATGTACAACACGATGTCCTGAAACATGCATGCAGTGGAACCTCAGTGTACGGACTTAATTCGTTCTACAGTTTTGGGGAGGACGTCTGTGTTTGCTTCTGTGTGGGGAAGATGTCTGCAAACTTGCGGCCCAACGCGGTTTGCAAACGGAAGCAGAATTTTGCCAAGCGCTGTTGTTTGCAAACCAGATGGTTTGCAAATAGAAGTGCTCTAAACCGCAGTATTACTGTGCGTTGTAGAATGGCCCAGTCAAGCTCATTAACAAATCACTTTTTCGTGGCGAGGACACTTAAATTCTGTTCTCTTAACCATTTGCAGGGTTTAATGTGTTGTTATTAACTGTAGTCTTCACGATATAAAATAGATCTCTTGACTTTATTTCTCCTAATTAGTTGAAATTGTATATACCTCGGCTGACATCTTCTCAGAGCCCCTACCCCAGTGCTCTGTAGCCGTCACTTTTCCTGTGAGCTCAGTTTCCTCAGGCCCCGGCTTAGGCGAGGTCACGTGGTACTTGTCTTTTTGTGTGTGGCTTGTTTCACTTAGCGTAGCGTCCTCCTGACTCCTCCGTGTTTAAAACTGAGCAGTTCTCCCGTCCCCTCTCCTTCCTGATCGCAAACTTGCAACCCTCCTGCCTCAGCCTCCCAAGTAACTGGGGTTACAGGCAGGCACAGTCTTGCCAGCTGTGTGGCACGTAGGTCGGTTCCATTCTTGGCTGTCGCGAGTGAAGCTGCAGCGAACACGGAGTGCAGGGATCTGTTTGCGATGCTGTTTCACTTCCTGTGGGCGTATGCTCAGTGGGGTCACTGTCGCGTATGGTGGTCTAAGTTGGACATTTGTGGCCGCTCCCTTCTGGTTCCTGTGACTGTACCAGGGGTGGGCACCTGTGGCAGGCCTGCTGCCTCTGGCTGTTCGTTGTCACTGAAAGCTCTAAAAGCCGCTCCGTCCCTGGGCTGTGCTAACACGCGTTTGGCCAAGTGCTCAAGGGTTCCCTTTCCTCCAGGCCCTTACCAGCACTTGTTTTTCTTCTTTGTGATACCCGTTGTAACAGATGTGAAGTGAGATTTAGGTTTTGCGTTTCTGTGATGATTAGTCATGTTGAGCACCACCCCCACCTCTCCCCGTACCAGGAATCGAACTCACAACCTCGCACTTGCCAGGCAGGCGCTGTGCCGCTGAGCTAAATCCCCAGCCCATGTAGAGCATGTTTCATCTACCATTTCATTGGTATAATTCTTTGCATGTCCCTGTGTATTGACTCTGTTACTGATTTTTTGAAGGAAGGCTTGAAATACTAATAGCCACCACCAAAAAAGAAAATCATGTTTGTTTACACAAACCTACATATGTGTGTATTATTTTTAAAATCAGCCAAGCGTGGTGGTGCACACCTGTAATCCCAGCACTTGGGAGGCTGAGGCAGGAGGATCCTTGTGAGTTTGAGACCAGCCTGGGCTACAAAGTGAGCTCAAGGCCCTTGTGAACTGCATAGTGGGACCCTGTCTCAATAAGACAAAAATAATCAAATATTCCTAGTAAACACTTACTTTCACCTTTATTTTACCTTTAGGTAGTTTTGGAAAGCCCGTGGCCTACGAGCACTCGTAGTGGTATTTTCTTGTGGACGAAGGTACGGAATGTGGTACGTGGCTTGGCTCAATTTAGGCAGCCACTTAAAAAGACCATTCAAAAGTCACAGGTCTCCTCAATATCAGGTAATGTATTTGACTGAAGAGATAGTTTATCTTTGAACCATAGCTTTATAGGCATAGGAAGTTTGAATTATATGAAGTAAAAAACATAAATGAAATTCTGGTTGGTATTTCTATATACAACTAAAGGCAGGATACCATAGTCCAAAATTACTTCGTTATTATAATTTTCAGAAATTTAGGAAGTGTCCTGGAAGCGAGCGTGGATCCCTCTGGTGTGTGTTCAGCTCGTCAGTGCGTGGGCCGTTGACCTTTGTTGTCCTTCTCTTTAGCCCCTCAGCAGGCTGCAGGTGGAAGTGATGGGGACACGGTGAGCCACGGCAGCATGGATAGTTGTAACGAGGCCAGCAGTGGGGAGCACGCGGTCTTCGTCAGAGACTTGATCAGGCTTGATTCCATTGGTAATCACTCTAGCACAGGTACCAGCATCTGCACTTTACTGACCCTTCACTTACTAGCATGCTAAATCTTTCCTTTTTATGTTCCAAAAAGTTTTATCCTCCTTGAGTGTGTGCAGTGAGACACTTCTAAAGTAGCGCGCGTTCGTGCGGGAAGGAGCTGCACTTGTGCGCCCGTGTAGCGTTCCTGGCAGTGTACAGTTCCCTTGAGGGCCGTGCCCAGTGCCCGCCCGCCATGCCCCTCTGTATCTGGTCGTCCGTGTGTGGAAGTGTAGAATTGCTGATGAACCTGACCGTTGGTGGTACAGCCCACAGAGCTTACTTTCCTTAAATGAGAAGTACATCTTAGAACTTCGAGGTTATGAATATTAAAGAAGGAAGAAAATAAGTCATACAGCATGAGAAAGAAAGTATTGCGTTACTCTGTAAAGGCCGTACTGTCCATGTATTTGAAAATCTGAGAAGCTCCCTGTGTGTGCGTAAGCACCGGCATCGCCTCTGGCCCTGCAGGAAGAATTGAAGCAGAGCGCTGGGCAGATGCGTGTGTGTGGCGCCTCCTCCTGTTGCGTGTTGTTTCTCTGGTTGCTGTCGTTAATATCTCGTCTCCCTTTGAAAAGGACCCTCCCTCCTGTGCCTCACCTGCGGGGCCTGTCTCGGTGGCGGAAGCGCCCCTGCCCTGCTCTCTGTCGCTCTGCTTTGCTCTGTGCTGTCTCTCGGTGCTGCGTCTGTCCGTGGCTGTGGTGGTGTGGGTGCAGACAGCCCTGCGGGACGTGGAGCTGTGGAAGCGCATGTGCATTAATTCTCCTTTGAATATTAACCACTGCAGGTAATTTCCCATTCATTAGGCTAAATTTTGGGGGCATACAAGGGTGGGGGGAAGATGCCTTTGTGTTTTTGGTCCCGGGAATTGAACTCAGGGCCTTGAGCTTGCCGGGCAGGTGCTGTGCCCGCTGAGCTACATCCCTGGGCCATTTTGGTGTATTTTAAATATTACTGCAAGTAGAAAACAGTTTTCAGTTTCCTGACTCCTTTTCTTCTTCGATAATCACACGCAGTCTCTCCTTCCCTTTTTCTGATTTTTATTTCAGTAGCTCCCTGGTGGGGAGCTGGCGGCGCGTGCACACCGCACGGCTTTATTCTGTGTCCTCTTCCCTCCGCCTCCTCCCCCTCCCTCTGCAGAAGGTCTGTCTCCCTGTCAGAAGTAGTCTTCCGTGAAAGTAGCCAGATGACATTTTGTGGTCAGCTTTCAGAATGTACTTGTCTTACTTGAAAAGAGGCCCTACTGTCATTCTTGTTTTGGGGTTGGTTTGTAACATCATTGGTTTATGTAGTGTTCCGGGCTCTAAAGAATTCATTATTCCAGCTGCGGAGGTGCTCATTGTTTTCTAAAACTGCTCTGCTGAGTTTCCAGTGCTTAAAAACTACCTTCCCTTAACGACAGGCAAATGTATAAATCATTGAAGTCAGTTAGGCTACAGGGTTAAGTCTTGTTTGTAATTTTAAAATTTTCAATCATGCTTATAAATAGGATATTTATGAGACTTTGATTTTAACTACTTACTTTATTTCCTCCAGTAATTTTTCCTAATGCTGTAGAAGAATTGGGCTTAATGTATTGAAAAAAATTTATCTAGTAAGATACCGTTTCTCTCGTAATTTTGTGGTGTGAAACCAGATGATAATAACAGGAGACAAAACTCCTTGGCTCTTCCTCCTGCTTTGTGTCTGGGTAGGAAAATGTGTCGAGGAATGGAGAGGGCTGCCGACACAGCGGGGTCCTGAGTGAATTGCCCTGTTCCCGTACATTTGTGAGCTTGTCTCATGGTAGAAGTAATTGGACCCTTTAACGAGAAAGTCTCCTAGTAATTGCAGGTAGTTGGCGTGAGGGTCCCCGTCAGGAGTTGTGAAGAACCTTTGGATCTCTCCGTTACAGATTCCGGTTCAAGCCCCCCGCCCCCGCCCAGCGTCTTTGTCTTGAATCCGGAGTCTTCCCGCCTCAGCCCCTGGCACACACCGCTGCTTCCAGCCTTAGCAGTGTTCCTAGTGACCGAGCCCAGAACGGACGTCACGTTGACCGCAGTCCCTGTCCGGCTTCAGGGACAGCGCTGGCGCTTTCGGAGTCGTCCAGCCCCGATGTTCAGATTGCTCATTTCGTTAGGGGTGTGGTCTTGCAGAATCTTTCCATTTGCTGCTCGATATTGCGTCACTCAGCTTATTTGAGAAGTACTTGGGTTTAACCAGTTTACTGTGCTCCCTAGCTGTTGTGCATTTCTAGGCCCTGTATGTATAACTACCGTTCTTTCTGACAAGGCCAATTTAAAAAACAAAAACTGAAGTTAGCTGTTCGGAATAGTAATATTTGGGGACATTTAGTTACTTTGTTGCACGGTAACCTGAAGTTGAAGTGGCGGTGTAGTAAGTTGTAGAAAGTGGAAGGTGCTGCATATTTACGTCTTTCATTTGTAATTTTATAACTGTGCTTGGTTTTTTTAAATTTAGGACTTCAAAGCCAAAACAGATGTTTCAGAACCCTTATTTAGAAATTTCAAACATACAGAAAAGTTATAAGAATAATTTAGAAAACTCTTGTGTATCATTTATCTAGACACACTGCATTTTATTGTTTTTTTTTTTTTTTTTTTTTTTTTCTCCGGT